CCCGCCGCCTTACTCCCTGGAGGAGCCGCCCTGTGCAGTTTTAACTTTGTCAGGTCAGCTTGATGGGGAAGAGAACCTAGTGTTAAAGGGTTTTCACACTTCTAGGGCTGAGGGTTGCAGGTAGTTTTAAAGATGAAATTAAAATTCTGCAAAATAAGCTTGTGTAACGAGTCTTTGCCAATAGAATTCTTCAAGACTTTTCTGTGAAGACCAGAATAACTCTTCCTTTCTTTTGGCAAGGTAGTTTAATCATTTGCATTTGCCTTCTCTTCAAGGGTTTCTAAACAAACCCTAAAAAAATTCTTAGCTCTGGCACACATCTGAAGTATAAAAGGAAAGTGCATTGGTGTGTTTTGCCCTTTTTCCACCTCTCAGTTTCGGAATGAAGCTCTTGCATCTTGTTGAAGTCCATAATCTGTTAAGATTTTCCTCTTAACAAGCTGAGTTTCATCCCTTGTTACTTAATGGACCACAGCTATCACATCCTGTTTCTAAGTCTGTCACTCCCTACAGGTTGTGGTCTTTCGCTTGGCTCAGTGGAGAGGTTTTAAGACTGTCATAATCAAGATGAGTATCTAAACTCATTTAGTATTAGTGCTGTTTGCTTTAGCAAAGCCACTAATTTTATTCCAGTTGTCAATTCATGTAAAGCATTTGAGGACTTTCAAGTAATTATATTTTATTACGTAGTAATGTCTTCTTTTTTTCATTTATTTATTCTTTTCAGGAACTTGTGCGGCTTTTGCAGCAGACTGTCCGGTCTTCCCAATATGATAACTATTTTGCAAGCCATCTTTGTGATGGGGTTCCGAAAGACCAGTTAGAGCTGCTACACCAAAAAGATGGTCAGATCTTGGGTCTCAACAACCAACTTGAAAAGTTAAATCTGGAAAAAGATAGTCTCCAACAAGAAGTTAAGAATCTGAAGTGTAAAGTTGGAGAACTCAATGAGCAGCTGGGTATGTTAATGGAAACCATTCAAGCCAAAGATGAAGTGATCATGAAGCTGTCTCGTCAACTCAGTGATTGTGAAGACAATCCATCCTCCCAAAGCAGAATTACTAATTCTTCCATGTCCTCTTCTACTAATAAGGAACTACAGGAGTTGGACAAACTAAAAGTAAGAGCAATGTCTCTCTGTTAGGGTAGGGAAATCCCTACTCCCTATAAAATGTTTCACATTAGGATATTCTACCTGGGGAGAACACTAAAACTGGCAGTGTTGTTCTGAGCTAGTGAGTGTTAGGAGGCTTTTTCTCTTTCCAGTGAGGATTGGGATTTGCTTGTAGGCCTCTTCTATAGCTGTGTAATTTCATAGCCACTAGACTTCTGGTTGGTCTCTGCTACTACCTGTATTTGCACAGCATTGCCCAGTTTCCAGTAGTACTGAAAAAAGTTATTGGTATGGAAGAAGTGCTGTGGTAATCAAGGGAATGGGAAAGAACTAGGTGCAAAAGAAAATATAAAGGAATGGCAGAAGAGACAAATTGAAAAAAGCCGGTCCATGGGATAAATGAGAGCAGAAAATCAGTGGAGGAAAGGGGAAGAAATCTTGTCTAGAATGGAAGAAAGCTCTCTAAGGTAAGAGGAAGAAGACTAATTATATTTAGAATTAATAGTACTTGTCCTATTGCTAGTGACCCACTGCTTCTAATTGTGTATGATGTTAGAGTGTCTTCAGGGGTATACTTGGTAGCTGTGTTGGTCTGAGACAAAAAGACATACAAAAAAACTAGAACTCTTGGTTCCAAAATGATACCTTTTATTAGACCACCTGGAAAATGGCAAGAAAATTGTCCTTTTCTGCAAGCTTTTGGGATCAAAGTCCCTGAAACATGGAAGATGCTGAATTTCAGCCAATTTTGAATTTTAAACTTCATTGCAGAACAACAATGAAGTTTTTTTTGCCTCCCTGCCTGCCATCTGACACCTCCAGGGAAGGAATTTTACCTGATCAACATATCAAAGAGCTACTCAACACAGTTCACAAAGACACTGTCATGGTCCCAGAGGGACAGACTTCCATCTTCAGCTCCCTTTGTGCAAAAATGAAGTGTATTTCCTACCAATGGGGACTTTTTACCATCTTGTACCATCTAGACTTTTCCCAGAGCCTGACAAAGGGACTTTGATCCTGAAAGCTTGAAGAAAAGGACAATTTTCTAGCCATTTTCCAGTTGGTCTAATAAAAGGTATCATTTTGGAACCAAGAGTTCTTGGTTTTTGTATGTCAGAGTGTCTTCAAGCATTTTTGATAGCTCCCTAAACTACCATTTAAAAACACTGGCTTGTCACTGGGTAAGGGCTGCTGTCTAAATTGAAGTGGTTAAAAAAAAAAGTTTCAGGTGTTATGACAAAAGAGAAAAAAGTGGGTATAGCAGAAGAAGAATGCTTGGAGAATGTATCTTTCTCTACTTCATCCCACAACTTTGAGCTTTGATGGTAGTACTTGTAACTAGGGATATTAGAAGTTGTCAAAGATGTGTATTTTCATGGTGGCTATCATGGTGGCATTTCTTGAACCCATTCCTACAGACTCATCCTGATGATCTTGCCTCACCTTGCCTTATATCTGAGAACATAGGTTTTTTGTGTTTGTTTTGTAAGCCTGGAGAGTTTCTGGTTGGTGATTATTTAAATGACTTGATCAATGATCATTACTCCTCTACTGTTCTGTTGTACACTTTCTAGGATAATTTTGCTACATAGAAGTATTAATATTTAGACTTCTGATATTTTTCCTTTTTACCAACAGGACAATCTTCAAGGTTACAAAACCCAGAATAAATTTTTAAACAAGGAGATTTTGGAACTTTCTGCTCTACGAAGAAATGCAGAAGCAAGAGAGAGAGCATTAATGGCAAAGGTTAGACTAAAAGCTTGTTTACCTGTTTTGGAAGTACCTTTAAACAGACATTGAGAGATGGTGAAACACTGAAAATGATCTTTTTTTCTACTAGGAACTGCACAGCCACTTTCTCTTCAAGAATTTTAGTGTGCGCATGCATGCGTGTCTGCGTGCACATGCCCATAATATACTGCATAATGTTGAACTTTTTTCCCAAGAAATTTCACTCTGCTATGAGAGTAGAGCAATAATTTATATATACTGACAGCTATTGGAGGAATTCTGCCTACATGTTTCATTCTCATTGATCTCTTTGCACTGTTGTCATGCATGAAGCTAAGTAAACTATTGCACTTTTTAGCTCAACACTCAATTTTGAGCACCATAATATACATTTCCATGCACAAAGCTGTGTTTCTTTCTTTTTTGCTGTCTTAAGGTTACAGTTCATGAAATATAGTTGTATTTGCAGTTTTATGCTACATGCCACATCAAGTATGTGTTAATCTTGGTGCATAAATGTTTTCGTAAGCTATGTTGGTGCATATTGATGTGGAGTATGTTTGTGTATAGGTGGGTAGAGAATGTGAATACATGTGGTCAAAGTGGGTTGCTTGGGGTCAGGTAGGCATGTAAATGCACATGAATGTTGGTTATTTAAACAGGGTGTCTCTAGGTATGGGGAAGCCTTGCAGAATTTGGATGTTTTACCTGCAGTTTCTGTGATTGTTGTAGCCAGGTCTAGGGGCTAAGGTGTCTAAGAGCAGTGGAAGTATGGGGTTAATTGCTGCACTCTGAAGGGCGGCAGTTTCTGGAAGAATGTACTTCTCACTTGACATCATCCCGGTTAATGTTGTTTTGTTACTACGTCCCTGATCTATTAGAGAACGTACTCGTTTAAAGTTGTGCGATATTCGGTTATAACATTGTTTGGCCTCCGCCTGCTAGTAGGTAGCTACTGTGATGTAATTGGATTCGCTTAACATCATTTCACTTAGTTGCAGTTTTCAAGAACATAACTATGACATTAAGTGAGGAAAGTTCTCTGCCTTTTGCAGGCTTAAAATTTATTTGATTGGTATCTCTTTGTTGATACATTATGTACGCATAATCCTCAACCACCCTTAAAAGTCATTTGTATTAGTTTGTTCTTTTTAAATATGGTTAGAGCTGCAGCTCATAAAGGGGTAAATGGATTTGGCTCAAATGTTCAAATCGAATGCTTATTTTCCACAGAAACTTGAGTGTTTAAAAAGTACCTTCCTAGCAGAAGTGAGCATACGGTATTCATAGTACCAGAATGGGGAAAAAAATCTAGAACTGACTATATGAATGGCTTTGAAGATCTTGTTGCACAAAACTGTTTTCAGGTTGCAAATTTTCTGTGTCTTCAATCTTTTAGACTTTGTGGTTATTGAGCAAGTATTGAGTAATGCTTAATGTGATATTTAATTTTTGTAAATATTTGTTTCAAAAGAGTGTAGTAAGTGTATATTCTTCTTTTTAGTATTCTAGCCTGGAGGCTAAGCTGTGTCAGATAGAAAGTAAATACTTGATCTTGCTTCAAGAAATGAAGACTCCTATTTGCTCTGAAGAGCGAAGCCCTACCCGTGATGTTATTACCCAGTTGCTGGAAGATGCCTTGAAAGTGGACAGCAGTGAGCAACCAGAACAAGCTTTCTTTAAACCTCACTTGGTCAGGTAAATCTTGAGGCCACTTATAAGGGGAAAAATAGCTGAGGGCTTATTTCATATCTAATGAATTCTGTTCTTGGGGAGAGTGCAGGCAATAGAGCTTAAGTAGGAAACTTAATCTGTATTAAAGGTATATTAAAAACATCAGGAGTATGAACATACAGTCCTTTCTCATCCTCTACCACTTAACCATCAACCTATACTTTTTCTGACTTTTGACTCAACTTGTGTATATTGGTGGGTCAGTTTCTAACATGCAAATGAGTAGCAGTGAAAGATCTATATATAAGCAGATATCTACTTGAGCATTATTACATCAGTGAAATCACATAGTGGCCTTGTGAGCATGTGTGTGGAGGTTTCCTATTAATTCACATGAGTGGGTACAAAAGGAAGCGGCAGCAAAATTATCCAGTATTTTTTAACTACCAAATACAGGACAACCTGGCCCTAGGTTTTTGAGAATTTCCGGAATGCAGACATTTTGTAGAAACTCTGTTCTCTCTCTCTCTCTTTACAGTGAATATGATATTTATGGGTTCCAGACAGTCCCAGAGGATGATGAGGAAGAGAAACTAATAGCAAAAGTGCGAGCCTTGGATCTGAAATCCATTTCTCTTACTGAAAACAAAGAGATTTCCACAGGTGTAAAATGGGAAAACTATTTTGCAAGCACAATGAACAGAGAGATGGTACGCATTCCAGAACTGAAGAATCTCATCCGTGCTGGAATTCCCCATGACCATCGTTCCAAGATGTGGAAGTGGTGCATCAACCTTCACGTTAAAAAATTCAAGGACAGCACTGATCCTGGGTATTTCCAAACACTGCTTCAGAATGCCCTTGAAAAACAAAATCCTGCATCCAAACAAATAGAGCTGGATCTCTTGCGAACTTTGCCAAACAACAAGCACTATTCTTCACCTACTTCTGAAGGGATCCAGAAACTGCGAAATGTGCTGCTAGCCTTTTCATGGAGAAACCCTGATATAGGATATTGCCAAGGTCTTAACAGGTGTGAATTAACATGCAAAATTCAAGGGTCGTGTAGTGAAATTTAATTCAGCAGGATTAGAACTATACCTCAATAAAGTGAATTTTATCCTAATTTCATTAGAGATCTTTCTCCTTAACTTAATTTGCTAATTTGGAAGCTATTTCAGTCTGTTTACTGGTCTTTGTTGGCTGTCTTGAGTGTATTTTAACAAACTACTTGTCCTTGTCCTTGTAGTGACAGGGCAAGGAACATAATATGCTGAAGTTAATCCTCTCTCCAGTATGTACAGTAGGTAATATTTTGGATATTCAGATCAGCTCACAAGTTGACAGAGCTTGATTTCTTTGGTTTAATTTTAATAAGAAAAAAATCCATGCTAACAGAATATCGAATGAAACAAATTTGTAGATTAAGTTCTTTGCAGAAGAGGCAGTATTGGCAGGAACCCACACAATTAATAATGCTCTTAAGCAACTGGAAGTCACTGTTGCTTTGACTTTGGCCTTTTTTTTAAACTAGGCTCTGGCTGATAAAGGCCACAGACACTATCACTTGCTCTAGGGTATCTTGTATTTACAAATCCGGTCAGGAAATCCTGTCCCTGGTATTAACAGTCCTAACTGAATAGTGAAAAAGATTCAGGAACCACTTCGTGCAAATAGATATTTAAGAGATCTCTACAAAAGAAGGTTTGTCCCCTCAGTCCAATTTTGAAGTTGGCATTTCTCCATGCTGACCATTTTAAGACACTTTGATTAGGATATTACAGAGCTACCAGATGATAAAGTGGAGAAATGAACATAAGAGGTTATGGGGGGAATGAGGTCCATTTTGCTGCATGTGGGTGAATCAAACAACTTCTTGGAGAACAGATTTTCTAGCTGTTTCATAATTTAAATGAAATCTTCATAAACTGAAGGGAAAAGAGATGTACAATTTGTTTTTTAGATTTGAAAAAAACGAACCAATTCAAAATGGACTGATCACTTCCTGGATCTTTATAGCTCAGGAAAAATATCGGTTGAAAGTGTCTAAATCGGGGGTAGGCAAAGTTTTTTTTGTTTTTTTTGTTTGTTTTTTTTTTGGCTGGAGTGCTGAATAAACCACAGTGTCTACCTTGGAAGGTGCCAGAGTGCCAACATGCTGGAGCCCGGAGCAGCTGTTTACAGCCTCCCAGCTGCAGCCAGCCCACGGAGCCCGGTCTGCTTGCAGCCTCCCAGCCCCCTGCTGGGAGCAGCCTGGGCTCCATGGCTGGCACCAGCTGCTTAGAACTTGAGCTGGCGGTGGTGTGTTGAGCAAAATGGCCTTGCGTGCCATGCTCGGCATGTGTGCCATGGGTTGCTGAACCCTAGTCTAAATTGTACAGTGATTATTGCCAAATGAAAATCCAGGTAACAGAGTTGGGGGAAAATGGTATTAGCAAATTTAGGTTATTATGCTAGACAGAAGTGATATGATAGACAGAGGATAACTCAACTGGTCAAGAATTAGGGTCTTGATTGCTCTATGAAGTAATGCACATTTGCAGAGGGCATAGGTAATAGTAAGAACATGTTCCTTTTCTCTCCTCATTCACCGGTGCTTAAACTTATACAAAAGTTTAGATCCTGAAAATAATTGTAGTACTGTAACAGTGAGCTCTTCCTGGCAGGTAACAAAATATTGTTTGCAGGCAAGCTGTGGAACTAATCCAGAATAGGAATAATCTCTAGGCCTGGGTTTGGGGCTAGAACAGGGGTGTGCAAAATATGGCCTGCCAACTGATTGCATCTGGCCCACAGCACTCTGCATGGGGCTAAGCCCTGCCCACTTTTGCCTGGGCTAGCCAGCGCTGCGCTCCTGCCCACACCTGCCCTGTGTCTGCTGACAGCATGGCCCAGGCCAGCATGCACAGGTTCCTAGTAGGGCTGCTGCTGCTGCAGCCACCCAGGTACTGTTTTGCTCCCCATCTCCAGCAGCTCTTCCTCCTCCTGCCCCTGCTGTGCTGCTATGGGAAGCAAGTAGCACAGGGAAACAGTGGAGGCTGGGGGGGGACATGTGCCAGGCACCACATGCCCAGCCAGGCAGGGGGAGGCTGCAGCCAGGTAGGCCGTGCCCTATTGTGTGGGGCTCCAGCTTCTGGTTGCCTTCCACCCACTTTATCTGCCTAGCATGATAAGCAGTCACCTGTGGGCATGTGGTGCCTGGCATGCATCCCCAAAGGCCCCTGCTGCTTCCCCATGCTACCTGCTGCCTGGAGCAACACAGTACAGGCAGGAGGAGGAGGAGGAGCTGCTGGAAGTCAGGCCAGGGGGGCAGTGAGCCAAGCAGTACTTGGATGGCCACTGCAGTAGTAGCAACAGCCCTGCTGGGAAGCTATGGGTGCCAGCTGGAGCCATGCCATCCACAGATGTGGGGCAGTTACAGGCTAGACCATGGCATGAGCTGCCCCAAGCAGGAGCGGATGGGGTTCAGCCCCATGCAGAGCACCACAGGGGCAGCCATGGGCCAGATGTGGGGGGTAGATGGCAGATTGCACCTGCTCACAATGCCTGGGGGAGCTCTGTATGTGTCCCCTGCACCCCCTCCATCCCTCTTCCCACCCCGGCCAGCTCCTGGGACCTAGTGCACAAGCAGCCTCCTCTTGCCACACACACAAGCACACATCCCCCACACACAATATAACAAGAGTAAAAGTTTATTTTTAGCTTTTATGCAATTGATTCTATACACTACTCAAAAAAACATCAGGACAAAAATTTAGTTTTTGAAATAGTTAAAATGTGTTATACTAGATGTTTGATTTTTTTTTAGTGTATGGCACTCTATCTATAACTTGTTAAAATGATATCTTCTAAAAGATTTTGTGTGTGCAGCCCTTGGTAGCTCACCAAAACTCATTAAGTGGCCCCCCAGTCATAGGTGAGACGTATGAAATAATTGCCCACTCCCAGGCTAGAAAGTGGTCAGAAATAGGTGCAAGAAACAGTATGGCTGAACTGGAATTTTAAGAGAGCATGCAACCTAACAAATTTGATTTTTAAACACCTAAGGTTGTCAGAATTCAACAGATTCATAACACTTAAGCCAAATGTAATATTTATTCTTTACTGTGGTTCCCTTTATTTTGTAAAGTCCAAGAAGCTCTCAAAGGTTTATATCAAAGCAGCTCTTCTCTCCTAAATGGAGTAAGGTAAAGTAATACAGGGAGTTTAAATTAAATTAAGAAAATTTTACTTGGAAAAACAAAAGTCAGTGGCTATTATTTGCATATAAAGAAATTCTTTGATTTTTCATAGCTCCCCCTGCGTGTGCAAAACAGGAAGACCATACACGTGGCTAACTGATGCTATTTTGTATACAGGCAGTCCTCAGACTTACACAATTGGTTCCTGAAAACTGGAAGTCTAAACGTTGTAACTCAGAACCAATTTTCTCATAATAAACAATGTTATAAATGGGGGATTAGTTCCTGAACCAAGGCCCAATACCCTATTTTCACTAAAAATACCCCAGTGTTTTGTACTCAATCAATTATAGATGAGTAATATAGCTACATTAATGTATTTATATTGTAAATAGCAATCACATTGATTTGGAAGGACTTCTTTGAGGTGACTTTGCTTCAAATAATTTACTATAATATGCTTTTTTTTTTTTTTTTAAACTTTTGCATTTACTTTTAGATTGGTAGCAATTGCACTTCTGTACTTGGAACAGGAAGATGCTTTTTGGTGTCTGGTAACAATAGTGGAAGTTTTCATGCCTCGTGACTATTATACCAAAACTCTGCTAGGATCCCAGGTATGTGTTATACCTTGAAAAATGGAACTACGATAGGATTGTGTACTAACAGTGGCTTTGAGAATAAAATGGGAGATGATTTCTTCCTGCACAAAGTGGAGGTTATGGTATTTGGTTGATGGGTAACTCTTAAGTGCCTAGTATGGTAAGCCTGATGGGCCTCTATGCTGTCATAATCTGCAATAAGTGATCTGCTTTGAATCATGTACAGAGCTCTGTAAGTATTTAGCAGTAATAACAGCATGTCTGTCCTCTTTCTTTAGGTGGACCAGCGAGTGTTCAAGGATTTAATGAGTGAGAAACTGCCACGGTTGCATGCTCACTTTGAACAGTACAAAGTTGACTACACGCTCATAACTTTTAACTGGTTTCTGGTGATATTTGTAGATAGCGTGGTTAGTGACATCCTCTTTAAAATATGGGACTCCTTCCTGTATGAGGGACCAAAGGTGAATTGCATGAGATAAATACTTTTTTTCAGTTGTCAGATCTTGTTATTGGGTACTGTGGTGTTGATATTACTCATGTGGGGGTGGTTACACCTTGCAAGTTTGTTAAAGAGCTGATTTGAACACTGGATGGGCAGGGGTTAACTTATTAAAATAGCCAGCAATTGCTTTCAGTCAAAAACTCTTTCTGTTTTACATCTAAATTTTGTCAGTGAAATCTGCTACATAATTTTAATTATGAAGAAGAAAACTCAGGCATTTATTTCTCTTGCATAAAAGCAGCAGAGGGAGAAATGAACAAATATGATGAGTGTTTTCTGCTTAGTAAAGGCCAAAAACATTTATCAGGGCTCATATTTTCCTTGTTTTTGTGTAGTGGCTTTTATTTCAGTGTTGGAACTCTGAAATAAAGTGGGCATGAAGCAGAGGTAATAGAAAGTGCAAATCTTTGCTGTAAGTGATATTGAACTGCTTCTCTTCTCTACAGCAAATATTTGTTTTTGCACAGACTTTTAAACTGCATCTATAGATACTCATCAGGATTACCTAATCAGCTTCTCCCTTGGCCTTCTCTCAAGTCAGTGTTCATTTTACAGTTTATATCTATTTTTAAAACAATAAGATAATGGATAAGATTTCTGGATCCATTCCAGCATGAAGGAAGGATCCTTATGCCTTTTCTGTTTCCTGCCAAAAACTGACTTGAGCAAATATTAGCAAAAGTTGAAGAATTTACATGTCTCTTCTTTCTGCCACATCTTGCAAGAGTTCGGGTAATCCATGAAGCAAGATACTGCCGTGCCAGGCAATGAAAAGCAGTGTTGCAGTTGTGTGGGTCAAACAGCACACATTAATGTGAAAAAGAATGCTAATTAGTTTTATATGTGCATGTGACCGTGAATGTTGCATTCAATGTAACATTTATATATATTTTTTACTATCAGGTAATTTTCCGTTTTGCCCTGGCACTTTTTAAGTATAAGGAGGAAGACATTTTAAAACTGCAAGATTCAATGTCCATATTCAAGTATCTTCGGTACTTCACTAGAACTATTCTTGATGCTAGGTAAGTATTTCCAAAATGTATTACAAGTCACCGCAGGTTCCAGAAACTGATATAGTGCTTACTTTTTTCTCCCTGCCTAATTTGAATGGGTTTTTTAGTGGAAGATTTTTATGTTTACTGGGGGGGGAATGTGTTGTGGTCATCTTCTGAGGTTTACACAGAGTTGTAGAGAGGGCTTCATAAAAAGATGTTGCGTACACACTGAATTATCTGGTGATTTTGTTTTTCTTTTAAAGGAGGATTATTTAAGCTCCTATGAACTTTTTAAACAAAATCTCTTAGTATTGCTAGGGCACGTTTGCTAAAACAGATTAATCTAAGACTGTGGAATTCTAATTGTTTTTCTCCCTTTTAAACTTGGGTCTGGTATTCTGACATTCCTGAAAAGTTCCAGTGAGGACAAATATCAGTGTACAAAAGCTGATTACTGTGCACTGTATTCTGTTTCTCTTTTAAATCCCACTCTGCAACTAACCTTTAAAACTTGTAGGAGAGTGCCACCTTTTGTAATTTAGTGTGCAGACCTTTGGTCAGAATACAGTGGCAGTGTGTGGTAGTTTACAAGACACTTGACTAAAAACAGACATGATTTAATTGTAGCCTCTTCATTCCACCTTTTTATGCATAAAATTACTTTTCATCTCATTTCATGATTTTATAAATTAACAATGAAAGAACATGCACAGTAATCACTGTTACAGGGGTTGTGTATATATATTTAGTCTTGCACAAAAAAAGGCATGTCTTCCTAATCGTAGTACAAAAAGGACAAGAGCCTTATAGGATTCCTGAACACTTTGAGCAGGCTGGAAGAATTAATATTTATTTCTTTCCACTACAATATATTTCTGAATTTTAAGCTATTAACTAGATGAATTTTTATTAACATGTGCCTATGTATGCCTTTGGAATAACAGACAGGATAACAAGTTGTCTACCTAATTGTTGTCTCAGACTGCTAAAAGTGTGCCCCAGGTGACACAAGAAGCTACTGCAGAGTGTTTTTAGACAGAAACAAGGAAATATTTTTTGTGTACCCACAAGTCATGTAAGAATACCAGTGTAGGAAAAGCTCAGCTTTTCAATAGGCAAAATGCATGCCCTCTTAAGACAGAGCCATCTAAAATATAATATAATTAATTATAATATAATGATTATTACAACTATAATTGGGGCCTGGTTTAAATTGCAGGCCCAGCTTGCAGCACAGCAGCTCCTTTAATCTTGGAGTCCCGTTTCTCCCTGCTGCCCACCCCCCATGCTCCCCTCCTCCTCTGCGTACTGTTAGAGGTGCCCCACTGCATGCTCCTGATAGCCAGGAGGCAAATACCATGGTTTTAAATATGCTGTGATTTATTTATTTATTTATTTACTTATTTATTTTGCTCCCTATCTGAGCGGCAGCAAGCAGCAGGAGGCAAAAGCTATAGCATATTTAAACCAGAGTGGTTTTTACCTCCTGGCATCAGGACTAAGCAGTGAGTGACAAGGCCAACACCACCTGTCTACCAATTAATGGCAAGAGAGGCATATGGGGGTGAGGGTGAGGGTGAGGGAGGGAGGGAGACTCCAAGATTCAAGGAGCCTCCACACCACAAGCTAGGGCCACGATTTAAACCAGGACCTAATTATAATATAGTATCTTTCAATAAAGGCTGGGTTCATTCAGTCAAGAGCTGGAAACCACTACAAGAGGGGAAATGGGATGTAATAAAGATCTATCATCACAGCTGCAGATCAGCAAAATAGAAGTTAAATAACTTGGGCAAGGGAGCTGTTTTGATACCTTCTTGGTCTCTTGCAATGTAGTTCATTATTTATGGTTCCTGGGGTCTCCCATTGCATTTTTTTTGCTTTATTTTTTGAAAGTGTGATGCATTTGCACTTCTAAAGGAAGCAAAGGGGAGCTTAATAAAGCAAGAGTCCTGAATGAATATCAGTTGTCTTATGGGATAGATGATCTATACCAGTGGTTCCCAACCTCAGGTCGCAACCCAAGTGAGGGTCATGGGGCAATGCCAGCGGTGCCACACACACAGAACAAGCCACGCCACACGCTGGAAGCTTACCCCACCCCCATGCCTCCACTGCCACTGTGCTCCGCTTCCAGCAGTGGGGTCATGGCAAAAAAAGGTTGGGAACCACTGATCTAGACAGAATGTTCAAGTGTAGTAAATGACATACCCTGGTCTAAAACTCTGGTTATCCAAAGCTTGATTACATCTCCCCGTCACTGGACTGAGGTGCTTAACACCACAGCACAGTATAGAATTTGCAATGGGTTTTGCAGATTGGCCAGCATTTAAGGGGTCATTCTTCATCTCACCTGCTCATACTGAAACTAGCAGCTCTTTAGTACTCCGTTGCAATTTCAACACTTCATCCAAGACGCACCAAGAATGTGAGGCAACACCAGAGTTGCATTTCACCTATTGTACAAAGTACTGTACTGGATGCTATTTAAAGAACATGGATGTCAATGATTGTCTTCTAACTGTATGATCTTTCAGGAAACTGATCAGTATTGCTTTTGGGGATCTCAACCCTTTCCCACTGCGGCAGATCAGGAACCGGAGAACCTACCACTTGGAGAAAGTGCGTCTTGAGCTAACCGAACTCGAAGCCATTCGTGAGGACTTCCTTCGTGAACGAGAGACCAATGTAGAAAAAAGGGACCTTATCAGTGATGATGAAGAAGACAATTGAAGAACTCATGACTTATACTTTCTTTGGAAGGGGTGGGGTGGGAAATCATGACCAAAGCTTATTGAGATTTAATTTCAAATACAGTTCTTTTTTTATTAATTCTTTAAAATGGAATGTAAAATAGTGGCACTTGGAAATATGCAGGACAGATTTCCAAACTTCAGCACTTTCTTTCAAAAACATTTTTTTGTATCGGAGGCCAAACCGTTCTGTTTACAGTAGTGTTCATTCCTGTGTGTGTAGAGCACTTAAAATTAATATCTGTTTTTCAGTTAAACAGCTGAGCTGCCAGTTGTTGTGCTGATGAATCTCATCAGTGCCTGCATGTGAAGCGGTAGTAGAGAAGTCCTTACTCCTTAATTACTGAACATCGTTATACATTTTTATAGCACGCTGTACTACTTGGAATAATACCATTTTTCAGTTTCAGGAAGATACGTTTAAAAAAAAAAAGTCTGTCCTGTTGGGAATGAATTGACCATTCTTTATATCAACTGAGAAGGTATGGAATGAAGCACAGTAAAAGCAATTTAGCTTTTGCACTGCAGCATTGATGTCGTTAGCTAGACAGATTTTCTGTGTATGTACTTAAAATAGAAAACAAGTACTCTTTTTTTTATTTAAAGTTTTGGTGTATACTGTGATTACAATGCAAACTATAACACTTGTATTTATTTTGGACAGCAGTGTTTTTATATGATCACATTCTCCTTAATACAAAGGGAAATGTCCACAAGTTTTGTTATTTAATATTTCTCCCCCGGCCTCCCTACTCCTCCGTCCACATTCTCTCAAGAAGCAGCAGCTGTTAAGAAGGATTAAATTAATCAGAATCCAACAAATATATTGCAGATAATAGTTCATATCAGGGTTTTTTGTTTTGTTTGCTTGAAGTCCTCTTCTCCCTGTCCAGGTTCTGAAATAAATGAAATCTGAATTTCAAAAAACCCCAGTCAAGTGATTTTGTTTCCATGAAGCTTTAGCTTTTTTGTGTAATGGTATAATTTAAGGCTCTTAAAGGAAGACTAAATGCAGGTAGGAATTGATTAAAGATTCCTTAATTTGTGCAAAAATCTAAAACATAACCCCAAAATATGTGCTGCTGTGCAAGCTGCACATGTAGCCCATGAGCCAGCTTGGTGAAACAGCCAGTCATCCACCTAATGTTGTCTCTGGCATTAGGACCATGGAAAGCTTGCTGAGCCCACCGTTGTTATTTCACTTCTTGATGCACAATTAAATGAACAGTAACAGGACATAATGGATTTCTTTCTTGCTTTCTTAACAAGATTGAATATAAGATTCAAGCAAAAGCTCTCACAAAAAGGTTTTTCATTTCTATGGCAATATACATGGAGGAGTGATGATTAAAAGCAGTCAATAGTGTAAGCTCGCAGAATTCTTCCATTTTCCACTATTTTATTTTACTGAGAAATGGATAGAGTTTCTTTTTTCCAGAGCTACTTGTAGCAATAAGCTTAGAATATAGTGGGGATATCTGCTGCTTCTTTAAAAAAAAAAAAAAAAAATAAAAATACAGTTAGTTTAACAGATCAGCTTCATAATTAGCTGACCTCTTCCAGCTACCTAACGAGAAGACACAACTTGTATAATATGTCATTTCAAATAAGGAGCAAGTTCTTTATGCTGACTGGAGAAATCTGGAATGATCATCTTCAGAAATATTTCACTTGTGTTCAAAACTTTCTTGCGTGTATAGTTACATTCCCCAGTTACTCCTTCTCTTGTACTTGAATTTAGTAGGTAGTCTTTTCATATTATTGCATATACATGTTCCTTTTATACTCACAATTACAATCACTATATAAATATACAAACAGGACCTTTTTTTAAAATGTCTAATTATATGCTGGCTGTTAGGGGAGCTGGTCTCTAAACAGATCTGTAATGTAAAGCTATTATTTTCTTTTCAAGTGTTAAACCCATCCATTCCTAAATTGGTTTTAAGCTGTTCTTTAGAATTGCTGCAGTTGAATTGGATAGTTCAGAAGTATGTAGATAGCCAGTTTTTACTAGTCCACCGCTCCTAGAGACTGCTGTTTTGAGCCTTGATTACAGACCATTTCTGTGATTTTTTTTTTTTTTTTCCTTCAAACTGAACACATTAAAGCCCCCTCAGGTTATGAAAAGAAAACAGTATGCTTTGGAAAACTGCTCAGGAAATTCTCCAGAGCTAACAGATATACTGAAGAGGGTATTACTTGCAATATCCTAGGTCCTTCTTGGGAAATAATGTTGCTAATTAAACTTAATTTTTTTGTTCCTGCATGTCATAAAACAGTTTATTACACAGTCTTTACATGTGAGTAACAACAAATAAGGTCCATAACATAATCATAACTTGGAGTAAATTAATATAAGATAGTTACAGTAGTTAAAAGGAGTTGGTGACTTCCTGGAAGGCTAGTGTCTACATCTCACTTCTCATCGTTACTGGTGCCTTGAACAGAAAGACAAAAACCTAAATGAGCAACAATGACAGCTTTTGTTACTGGCTGTCCCTACAGAATGGAAGTAACAGGAACCAGCTTAAGAGAAATATAGTTTTATTTGTGTCTGCTTGTAACTATTCTGTGGGCAAATAGTGGGTTTCTGGTGCTTTTTTACCCTGGCAACTTTGAAGAGCACTAACTCACTTTATTTAAATAAACATGCAAGTTACACACACTCAGTATTTGATCAGGCAAATCCAAAAAGAAATACAGAATGACTTGGTGATCTTCAAGCCTGGATTTTATAGACACAGAATGATAACATTTAGGGATAAATTCTCAAAGCAGTGCACAAAGATTTAAATTTGCACTCCTTCCACTTATTGGAAATTGACCCATTAATGAAAATAGTAAGCACCAAGTCTATATTTTGTATGTTTAACATCCCGTTTAACACTTTCGTGCATCTTCACTACAATGAAGACTCTGGACTTTGTTTGTTAAAGAATTTCATAATTGTTACATACACGCAAGACCTTTCTTATGCACAGCACCTCATATATGCCTTTATGTAAACCAAACCACTAAGATAAGATCCTGAAAATTGTTCTTCCATCCTTATACCTATATGCATGGTTCTGTTATTTTCAGTTATATTAGACTTAAATATGGTGCACTACACATCTACCTGTTAGTACTGCACGGTGTTCCTGTTGCGCCTGTATATACAATATTGGTAGTATTATCATCAAGTGTTATTGGAAAGTTCTTGAACAGTTATAGTAGTCAAATAGTATTTGCATTTTCACTGCTCTTGTTCATGATGTATACTGTATTATTCCCTGATCCCTGTATGTACCTATGGGAGGGTATTTTAGCAACAAGAGTAGGATTTTGTGGTTTAAAACAGCTAGCAAAAGACAACAGCTGTTCATGAATTTGACAAATTAAATCCTATCACAATCATGCTTATTTGTTCAATAAATCTGTTACTGAGAAATTAAAACTAGTCACTTTTCTAGTGTGGAGCAAAGTACAGAAATTTTTAATAAATTGTCCCTTAAGTGCCATTTTGTAAATGAAATTAGTGGTGCATGGTACACAAAGCCTATTTTAATCACAAAAGTTGACTGATACTGTTTTGCTAAAGATTCTTGTAAGATTGAAGAAAAAAATAAACCATTTATTACTTTGCATTATACCTTGGCATGGGTTCTTGTTTAACTGAAATAACTGCAGGAGCTATCCAAACAGGAGAAGTCTGGAAATGGAATATGTTGACCCGCTAGCTCCTTTTAAAGATCAAATTTAAATACTAATAGAAAACAATTAAGCAGAGCTAGTCCAAGTACTGTCTACTCTGAAGTAAAGGGAAAGAGGTGGTGAAAGTCATGTTTAAAGGAATTCTTGCTAGTGACACTATTCCTGTGTGAAAGAAACAAATTAAGTGACAATTCATGTGCTATGAAAGTAGGCAAATGGTTCCCATACACTTAACTAACTTTATATTTGCTATCCTAGGCCCTTATTCAGTAAAGCACTTAAGTACATACTATATATAAACAACTTTTTTAAATGCCTTTCTGAATTACAGATTCACAGAAGTTTAGGGCTGGAAGGGACCTGGTGAGATCATCAGGTCCAGCCCTGCTGCTCTGGGCAGGGAAGACTGCTGGGGTCAGATAACCCCAGCAACGTGTGCATCCAGTTTCCTTTTGAAGGTTACAAACCCTTGCTTGCAGCCCAGGTTTCAGAGGTGTGCTTCTATGAAAACATAGTCATCTGGTAGATAGGCTTCTTAAAACTAAAACTTGCAAAAGGTGTTATTTGAGCTAATAGGAGATGGATTTAAGGAAAAAATGTCAAGCAAGTCTACTCCTGATCTCTTCTTTCAATGGAAAGAAGAAAAAGGTTAAAGAGGACCCTTTGTGGAAGCACCTTTTGATAGCATTATTCTGTTTCTCACTCACAACTTATACTTAGTCAATATCCAGCACTGTTAACTGTAGGCCACTTTTTTATAAATTGTGCCACAGCTAATCAGTTGATTTATTATTCATTTCTGATTCTATGACTCTGACCATGTCTGCCAATAATGCCCCTAATGCACCCTTTTAAAAATATCATCTGTAAGCATAAGTTGACGATGGACCTTCCTATATGAGTCTTTGCTGATCAATTTATTAACTTTGAGTAACAGTACCACAGTTTTGCTGTGTATTTCTCACCTTAGCAACTAGAGGTCAGCAATGATGATGACTTGCTAGCACAGCACTGAAGACATCACATGTACAGTGGAATGAGTTTAAGCAAAATTCACTTTCATATGTAGTCTTAATAGCATCACTCATTCAATGCTCATGAATTGTCATGCTCATATCTGACCATATATTTAGAGCTATAGAGCATTTATATACATACCTTTTAGTTCTCAGACGCGCCAGAGATCCGTTGCTTTGGAGCAGGTTCAGTTAATCAAGTCTGCTCTGTGCAGGAAATGACACGCACCACACTGCGCTGCTTGAAGTTGTGTAAGCAGCAAAATGCACCACAATCATTTTCTTCATGCTGACGCACATTTTGCTGCTTATACAATTGCAAACGTCACAGCACCAGGCGCTTTTCAAAGCAACGCTTGCATGTGTAAAAATTCCCATAGATTCAGTTTTAAGACAGCATAAGCATCTTCTGGCTCCGTTCAAACTTTAATACTTGAGCTTCCTCTCAATTGTATTTTGAAATGGAAGTTTAGTTGCGCTTCTCTAATATCTTAAGGCTGCTAAGCATCTTAACCCAATCTAAAGCTTTACATTAATTTTATACGCTTAAACATATTAGATATCAAAATGTGTGGTGTGTGAAAGTGAGTTTGTTCCCATTTCATTTCCCTCACAACATTTAGTTTTAAAAAAAAAGGCTGCTATCTTTTCTGATTGAGCGATCTGTTAATGAGTATATTTAGAATTTCTTTGTAACAGGGATTTTTTTTCTCTTCTCTCCCTTAAGTGTCCAAGCTTCCAAATAAAGTCTTTTTTCAGAAAAGACTAACCTTGAAAAACAGATGTAAAATATTCTTCTGTCTGCAGTGACCTGTCTTACCTAGAAAAATGAAGCTGTTTTGTGTTCTTCATATTTAGTGCAAGGTAAGCTATATTTTGGCACTGAAAACTGCTATAGTGTTTGATGTCTCAGGGTGGGGTGGAGGTATGTGGAAAAGTTCCTATAAGGAACAAAGATGTAAACCTGGTATTGAACCTGGAATATCAAGACTTCAAAGGGGTATGTTGCATGAAAGCTACATATACCAGCTAGGTTAATTGTGATCGTAAAGGTCTTAACTGATTTGTGTCTCCAGTGAAATGTAAAGGTCAGATTTTTCAAAAATATTTTTAGACCCTTTAAGGACTTTCAAACTCCCTTGACAACCATAGACTTCCAGGGTGCTTGCCTGCCTAACCACGTTAAGGGTTTTTGAAAATATCTTTAAATGCCCTTGAAAGCCTGGCCCTAATTTCCATTTTGAAAAACTATCCATGCATTTTAGATTTTTTTCCATAAAAAAAGACAGACTTAAGTGCTTAACTTGCTTTTTGGAAGACACTTAAATGATCTAAGTGCTAAGCGTTATCATTATTACTGATGTTGTTCCCTTTGTCAGTGTTTTGGGGCCAGATGTTTCGTCTTGCATGGTCTCTCTATCACAGTGATATCTAATAGCACACACCACTGTCCTCTAAACTGCTGTGTTCCGACAAAGCAATGAAGTATGAGAACTAGTTCATTTCAAATTCTGGAATTTGGTAACAATACAGGCCAAAGGGTACAGAAAAGCAGCTAAGACAGAACACAACTGTGAGACCTGAGAACCTCCTGTCCTGTATGCTGAAGACAGTTGTTCCAAAGAATCAGGAGTAACCAAAAATGTCATTCAAGTGCATCAGAATATGCAAAGGTGATGTCCTGACTTGAACATTTGGGTGTTGGTTGGCTCATGCAGCATAGGTTGCCTTAACCCTGAAAGCCTTATCAGAGAACAAAGGATACTCCCACTTCCTTCTTGGAATGACCAAGAGCAAGACACCTGTTGCTAGTGAAATTACACCAATAGCTTGGGTGTGACTGAAAGAGGTATTGAACCTTTTGGTTTAAGGGGCCAGTCTGCCAATGATGAAGTGTTAATGCTGCATCAGGTAGGATGGGTATAGAAGAATAGCTTGGCACCTGTGACAGCAAAGTAGTGCCAGAAGCAGAGCACGGGTAGGAGGGGGAGAGACCCAATAAACACAAATCTGTAGTACGTATTTTTTTTAATCACTAATCCTGTTGGACAGTAAATTATCTTAAACAGAAGAATCTAAGAACAGCTAGGATTGAGCCTAGCAAGCAGTTTAGAGTAACTTTTGAGAGAGATGCTTGCCAAGTAGGTTTATCTCCCTGGCTTTGATCAACTGGGAAAGTGGCTGGAGGGACCCTCATTTCTATTTGGGCAGGTCATCTCTACAGAGGAAACTTGTGGGATTGGCACTCTGCTGTTTTGAAGCCCTTATTAATTTAGACAAACAAGATCCTCATATCATAAACATGTCTTGGCACAGGTTGTATGATTTCTGTCAGTATTTGAATGTGTACAACAGCTACCTATATCTTTTCATATGAGTTATGTACAAACTGACTTGTTTAAAGTATTTTACATATTTTTGCATGAATGTTTTAGGTAAGCCCCAGTTAAAAGGTAGCAAGGCTGCTTTGTATCTTCAGAACAGCACTAAACAGGCAAAGGATGTGGTTCTCAGCCTGAGTTAACCAGAGGCTTTTGTGAAGGCTCTTGGGGTGCTTGTTACACCTTCACAGCTTACCAGTAGTTCACACCTGGCATGGGATTTAGAGAAATGCTGAATAGTTCTGAAACTTTGGCCACTTGACCTTGCTGGCAACAGAGTTACAGCAATGTCATATGCTTTAAAAAGTTTCCACCCATAGGGTTGTGAAGGTTATAAAACTAGTCATTGATGAAAACAAAGAAAAACCCAAAACATATCTAATATTAATTGTAATGAGGTCTCCAGCACCAGAAGTCTGTATTTTACTCAGATAATGCAAAGGAAGGATGTAATGAACCTTGAATATTTTTCTCCCTGGAAGCAGGAAGGCTAAAGGTTCAAGAAAATTAAAAGGCAAGCTTCTAAAATAGTATTTCATCATAAAAAGGAGCCATGATTCTGTAAAATGTATCCCCAAAGATTTACAGGCCAGTCTGGTACCACCAAAGGGTAAAGTTGCTTGTTGCTTTATGTTAAAAGACCCACACTTTCAGCTGCTCATCAGTTTATCAAATGCTAACAATTTGGGAGGAAATTATCAGTTATCTTAGTTTCATGTCTGCCTCAAAGATTTTTTGGAAAATTGCAGCTAAAATGGCTTAGTTACTGAAAATGAGGCTAGGAAAAATATACATTGATTTGTCTATGTAAAAATATTCTGGTGCCTCTTTTGGCATGGGATTTAGCAAAAATCCTTGCCTCTCACATGTATCTAGAACCATCAAAATGATGTCACTTTCAACACAATTTTTATTTTTTGGAATAACTCAACTGTCCCTCTGTTTTGTCAATGCCTTTTGCTGTGATGTACCTTTTTTGCTGTTCCTGTGAAAATCTGTCCAAATATTGGCCATGTTTAAGGGAAAAATGGCTATTTTCACATGTTCTGTTGGCTTCCAAGAGCTTTCCAGCTTAGTTACCTGAAGATTTTGTCCTCACCAAACATGCTCCAACCTAGGGCTAATGGGCGCTGAGCAGGATATTCCCTCCAACTGCAGTTTCCTTCTAGATGAACTATGCCGGATGTGAGTGGACACCAGAACTGAAAGGAAGAAGTCTCTCTCTTGTGCTTTCAATTCTCACGCTGATATGCAGGCAGTGTGGAGAAAACAAAAGGGAAGAGAAGCATTGGGGTAACAGGAGGTTAGGGAGGAGGAAAAGAGACTGATTGCATGAAGAGCTTTTAGGGATAAATTGGGACTGACTGGCAAGAAGATGAAGAATAGGAGTGGCTGGGACTTGGATAGAAGATGCAGGGGGTTAGTAGGCCCCAGGGTAAGAAGATGGGTATTGAGATGAGAAATCTGAGGAACGAAGACTAGGAGTAGATTGGTGTGGAGAACAGGACTGGGTTGAGAAGTTTAGGATGAGGAAGAGAGAGGACTAGGATAGGGACAGGTTTAGGGAGAACGATAGAAGCTTAGATCAGTAGTTCTCAACCTTGTTAGACTCGAGGCATCCCTTGCCAGCTCTTAGTTTTCAATAGTTTTTTACTACAGAAAAATACTAGAGCAATTCTTCTGATGCACAATACTCAGACCCAAACAGGTCTCAGAATACTTTTGACATTATGGATTCCTATGTGAAATGTCTGGATTTATCTTGTGAATTATGTATGAGTATTTGCATATCAAACAGCACTAATATTGTGCAGCACCCTTTACAGGATCCCAGGGCACCCTGGTTAATAATCACCGACTTAAAAGAAACTGTAAGAGGATTTGCTCTTATTAGATGCTCCCATCCACAGCTTTGAATGGAGTCCAACACTGAGTCTCATTGTTTCTCCCCCACCAGAGAATATCTGCAAAACTTTCTAACAAAGTGACTTATCCCCCATCTAATGGGCTTATCCCCCATCTAATGTGGGATACCATAAAGGTGGTACTCCGCTACTGCTGCTGGTTATTCCATTATCTTAAGTGCAGAGGTTTCTATGATGGACGGTTCTAACCTGGCTGCTGATTTGTGTAGTTCTCTGTCTGCTGCTACATGAAGGAATTTTTCCCTTTTTGACAAAAAAAAAAACAAAAACAAAAAACTATGGGGTGTACCAGAATTAAAGTTGCTTTGTGCAATCTTAACATGGGCCTCTTGTGCACTATATAATACAGTCTTTAATTACATGCATCCATACTCTTTTTCCTTCATCCCCTGCTTCAGTTGCTGTTCTAGGAATAAACCAGGGTTAAGTAGTGAAAGAGGCTGTTGTCTGTAGAATTCTGTCATTATTTCTTGCAGAAGTTGGAAGGTGCCTCTTCAGTGTATCAGTGAACCACAGGAAAGGAAAGGAGGGTCTCCTGGTTAAGACATTTGAAAACAACTCTGGAGACCTGACGCAGTTCTTTGTGTTGCTGAGCAAATCCTGCAACCCACACTAACAGATTGTTACTACTTGTGTATAAGTTTTTATTTGTACCTTTATGGATATTTTTTAGACTTATAATTTCTGTACCTCTGTAAAATGCAGGCCATGATACCCCCTCATTTTTACAGGAGTGCTGTGAAAATCAAATAGTTAATATTTGTGAAGCAGTCATTCTCTAAAGCAGTGGTTCTCAACTTTTTTGGACTCAAGGCACCCCTCATTGGACTGAGTAGACAGTGGCACCCAATTTCAAAAACCTAATTTATATATTACAACACTTAACTCCTTGCAGAAAGGCCAAGCTGTAGAGGTGGGGGATTGGCCAGGCAGGGGCAAGCCTGTACCTGTATTTACCTACTTACCTCCTCTCAACTCATGGCACCCTTCAAATAATCTGGAGACACTCCAGGATGCTTTGTCACCCTTATTGAGAATTACTGCTTTAGCAAAGGAGCTCTGTGGAAGAAACCCACAAGGGTTTCCTCTGCCTTCAGAGAAGGTTTTGAATGGTGTGTAGTAAATTAAGTGTAGTGAACAGTGAAGTAAAACAAAACTTTGAGTAGCTATGTTGTAAATTAGCATCTTGTGCTCTGAAATGAATGAGATTAATGTTTTGTGGGGAAAAAGATAACGTGTTAATGTAGTTAAATAGGAATGAAGAAAATTGCACTAGCAACCTTTATTCTGGCATTTCCTAACTTTTGAATGCTTGATTTTGATTATTTTCTGTTTAAAAAGATTTGTATGCATGTAACATAAACATCCCAGTATAATCTGCTTTTATAACAATTCAGATAACAATGGGGAAGTGACATTAAAAGCAATGTTCTTAAGCAGTGCAAGTGACACTGCATTAAAGTTCAGGTAATATTTTTCTTGGTAAGTCTTTTATCAAGCCTAAGTCCTCCTTCAGAAGTGTAGCTCATATGCTTCTGTTACTTCCCGGATGACGTGATACGGAACCTGTCTCACTAGAGTGTGCCCAGCAGACAGGCTACAGTGCTAGTCTGTACAGTTCACTGACTTACAGTGGTTCTCAGTATCAGTAATGGGCCACTTGCTTTGAGATCCATTTAACATAGTTTATCTTATCTGTTTTAATTGTCTTGGATTCATGTGACTTCTCAGGCAATCAAAGCAAAATCATCTACAGCTAAACCTTTTTTCACAGGATCTGCAACTGTCCTGAAAGACGAGACATTTGTGGTAATCACTCTGCATTGTTCAGACTTGTATATGATCATAAAGTTACTAATGTTAGTGTAATTACTTTGAGATTCTTTGATGAATTGTTACATATAATAGCTGGGCAATGTTTATTGTTTATATAGGATGCATGTTTTACTTTACAAGCCCAGCGAACAGCAGAGTGTTCATAGGACCACTTTTGTAGTAGGGTGTGATAAATCTGGAATGAATGGGAATACAAAACTCTAGTTTCATAGTGGTGTTCTTGATGGAGATTGATTCAATGAAGTACCCAGCCATAACCCTTTTGCAATGGTCAAAGTATATTGAAATCAGAGAAAGGACTTTTGATATGAAAAGAAGAGCCAAGGAAGAAGCGAAGGTGTGGAGCTATACATACCAAAGCCCTAGAAAGGACTCTTCCCCCCTTGCACCCTTTAACTTTTGGGGAAGCAGGAAGAGGTTTGTTCTCTTGCTTTGGATATGATTATAGATGTTACAGTGGAAAAGATCTGTTTACAGCTGGTATACTCTGCTTGCAATAAAGGACATAGGCCCTATCTAGACCAGGTGTCAGAAGGTGAAGTAATAGAACCGGAGAGGTGTTAATTAGGCAGAAGTCAAGACAAGGTGGCACCTTTGAAATCTGACTTGTTCAGAGAGGCATGAGCTTTTGTAGGCTACAGACTAGTACTTCTGGTCTCCGCAAGTCTTTTTATAGCCTACTTTGTCAGATGCTATACACAGACTTGCAGAGAACAGGAATACTAAGCCATAGTCTATGAAAGCTCATGTCTCTGAACTAGTCAATAAGGTGCCACCTTATCCTGCCTTTGTTATTCAGTTGGTAGAGCACTCAACCATATTTGAAAAGCACTTGTGATTTTGAGTGTCAAAATAAGGAATGTTTTTTTCTCACCTTCCCTCTGGACAGAACCAAACAAAAAAAGGGTGAATTTTCCTTGAGGGTTTTTACCATGATGAGCATTTTTCAAGATGTCAGCTCACAAGATCTGTATTGAGAGTGAGGAGGGAGCCTCTAAACTTGCTTTTAAAGAGAACTGGGTTCTTCCATTGACCTCTTAGAGCCTTTAGGCTTCCTCCCACTTCCTCCACTTCATTTTTCCCTGTTCAGTATCATGTAATACAGATACTTTCCTTTGGACTGAGAGAATGTGGTGAAACTTGTTCAGAGTCCAAGTGCACCACTCCCTGGACAACTAGAAGGCGTCACAATTGAGTTCCTCTGACTTAGAGAGAAAAAAAAGAATTGGACTAGAAACTGAAACCAAGTACTTTGCACTGCAGCTAATAGCAGCACTGGCACAAATCCATAACATGTGGCACAGCAAAATGATTCTGAATTCATTATAGCTGGAAATCCTTGGAGGGGAATTAAGTACCTAGAGAGAGAAGCCATTATGCAAGTTTTAGCTGCAGTAGGGTGTTTTTTCTGGGGGAAGGAGGAGCAGGCTTTAACAGAGAAGGTACCTGCATACTTGGAAAGGGAAACAGAATGGCATTTATATTCAGTTCCCCATAACTTGTTAATTAGAAGTTATTACTGTGTACTGTTAATGTCTTAAAGGGTTGGATGCTAACCTACAAGGGAAGGATTTCATCAGACAAACAGTATGAGTACTTAGCACTGTAATTGTCTGCCAAAAAGAAAAGGAAAAACCTGGTTGTCCAGGGTTTAAAAGGGTCTATTTAATGCAATAGAAAGTATGCAAAAAATATTCTTAAACCCCTAGTACCCACCAGGGAGAGTTCTAAAAACAATGGCAAAAACATCTCCCTGCAATAGTTCCTCTCATGGCATTTTGAAAGTGAGATCAGCATTTTGAACTAGGAGCTGATATCAAACCAGGAAGATCCAAAGGGGCATTTGTATTGAATTCAACATCAATATGTAGTTTCTTAAAACAATTTAGAATCTCCGAGCTTGTACAAAATCAGGTTTTAAAATGTGTGGATCAATGTTCCAATAAATTCTAGTAAAAATGAAATGGCTCCCTCATGAACAATGTGCTGTTAGGGTCCTAGTCTTTCCCTCCCTCTTCAAGAGGAATGTACCCTGAACCCTTTAAAACAGGTCTGTTCTCTACAAAGTGAAATATTTCCCAAACATCTCAATCTCTTTCATGCTTTGTAAAAGCAGATTGTGCTTTTGTAGCACAGCCATGAAAATGTAGTACTGGTATCACGATGAACATTCTGATGTGATTATTTGTCCTGAAGGTTCGCTACCCAAAAAAGGCTTTTTTAATCTCGTGGCATTGGCTGAGGTCCTTTTCAGCCCTTACTGAACTGTTGTGCTCTCATAAGGGTGAATATTTGCCCACATCCTTGGTCAGATGTTTCACGTTCCTTTTTGCAGTGCAGCTGGAGTTCACATCTAAGCTGCATACCTAAATAAATAGTAGAGGGTGAAGCTTATTTTTTGAGGCAGCCCTATTGTATTTTTGGCACAAACTAATAAATTGCATTACATTGATTGCCAGCCTGATTATGTTTGAAATATGGAGCAGAAAATGTGTCCTATCTCTATCTGAAAAGGAACAGTAAGTTTCAAATAAGGAACAGCTGTTAAGGTGACCAGGAAGTTACCTGTGGACTACATAGCTGCTGCCCTTCAGCCCAGAAGTGGCCGTAGCTCTGATGCTGCATGGCTTAGGACAGGGGTGGGCAAAATTCTATCTGGCCTGTGGGTCCCTTAAAAAATTAGAAAATTAATATTTATCTGCCCCTGGCTGCCTGGCAAGCCATCGAGGGCCGCATGACAAAACTCAGTAAGTAGCCTTCTGCCCAAAATAATTGCCTGCACCTGGATTAGGGTCTCAGTCCAGCAATCAGAGCTGCTTGAGTGGACCTCTGGATTTGCATTCACTTGCCTGGACCTTGTCATAAGTGCCAAGAATCCACCGTTGGGTTACAAGGACAGGAGTTTTTTAAAGTGCTTCGTCAAGAGACTAGGGCTCTTAAAAAGATTCCTTGATTTTTTAGTAGACTTTCTTTGTAATCTTGGGCCACCTACCTGCTCTGTGCCTCTGTTCATAGATTCATAGACTGTCAAGGCCTGGAAGGGACCTCGCAGATCATCAGGTCCAGCCCCCGCTCTAGGCAGGAAGACAACCGGGGTCAAGTGACCCCAGCGAGGTGACCGTCCAGTCTCCTCTTGAAAACCTGTGACTGCACCACCTCTGGAGGGAGCTTATTCCACAAACAGCTCCCTGTCTACAAGAGTCCTCGCACTGCCCTGGCTCGTGGGAGCAGGCAGTGGTGAAGTGACACGCGGGTAAGTAGGTGTGAGCTAAGTAAGACTAGGTGAAGATGTAACAGTAGACCTTAATTCTTGGACATCTCTGAACACTCGTTTGACCCACCTGAGGCACAAAACTTTTCTGTTGCCAGAGAAGTTCATCTGGGGAGAGCAGGAGGGTGCAGCTGGAGGCCGGCCCCGCCTCAAGTGCCAGGGGCTCCTGTGCTTCTGTCCCTGCCTCCGGTCTCCGGGTGTTTTCCCTCTCGCACCCGAGCCACCACCAGCTCCAGGTCCTTTCCTTTTTAAGTTTCTGACTGGGGTGTAGGGGAAAGCTTGGCACCCTGGACCCTGCGGCCTCCACCACACGGAGCAAAGCGAGGGGAAGCGAAGCCACCTTGATCGCCTGTAAAATCTCACGGCTCTGGAGCCGATCGCCTGTAATCAAAGTGCTTGTTCATCATCACTGAAGCGGAGGCTCGCCGGGGGGCCCGGCCAGGAAAGTATCGCCCCTGCCGCCGCTTCCCGGCGCCCAGCCCGGGGTGGGTCACCTGCGGCCCCTACATCCCCCGCGCCGGGGCGGGGCCGGGGGCTGCG